AAGAGACTCGCTTGAGCCCAGGAGTTGGGGGTTGCTGTGAGCTGTAATGCCACGGCACTCTACCCAGGGGGACAGCTTGAGGCTCTGTCTCAAAAAAAAATTAAGATCCTAATATATTATAAATTGTTTGTTAAAATTATTACAGTAAATTGAATGTGTTTGGGGGACCTCAGTTAGACCTCCGTGGACATAAAATCTGTTGAGTGGATGCACACTTGGTTTCAAAAGATCCTTTTCTAATACATTGATGTACAAATGATTTCATTACTAACAAGTTGGCTCCAACAATGAACACGTTAGACACCAAATTGCAGTTGCTCAGAATGAAAAGAACATAAAATTTAATTTTTTAATTTTTAAATTGTATTTATTTTTTGAGAGTCTTACTTTGTCACCCTTGTTAAAGTGCCTTGCATCTTAGCTCATAGCAACCTCAAACTCTTAGGCTCAAGTGATCCTCTTGCTTCAGCCTTCCAAATAGATGAGACTACAGACGCCCAGCTTTTTTGTTTTGTTTTGTTTTACTTTTTAGACATGAGTCTTGCTCTTGTTCAGGCTGGCCTGGAACTCCTGAGCTCAGGTGATCCACCCACATCAGACTCCCACAGTGCTAGCATTACAGGCCTGAGCCACCGCACCCACCAAACATAAAATTTTTAATAACAAAAGTTCTAACATGTAGTTGTACTATTTTTCTTCAGGTTTACTGTCAGGTGTTATTATGTTGGTAAGTATGGAAGAATTAATAAAATACTTGTAGATAATTAGTTCTTGCACATACAACACTGGTGGCTTTTTGGAAAAATAGTTTAAAAAGTACAAGAACAAGAGGATCAGAGATTTTACTCTATTTGCAAGCTAACAACTTAGCCTGCCATAGTTTTGTAGAAGATGCAGACTCTAAGAGATGAATTACAATGGTAGCCAGAATATTAGCAATTTTCCTCATGCCCCAGTTCCCACAGGATGATGCAGAGTGCCCCAGAAGTCACCTGGATGTGGAGTGTGTTGCATTACAAGACAGGAACTCTGAGCCTAGGGAGCCCAAATCTGTATTTTGCATAATAAGCATGCCTTTCAACGCTCTTCATTATACTAACATCCTTGAGACTGTAGTCTAGAGCAAAAGAATGTAAGTGCTTTGCTTGTAAGACATGCAGAACACTATGGACCTATGGAGAATGGTCTCCCAACAAAATTTATCCGGAATTTTAACTAAATTAGTTTCAAAAGTATTAAATCTTGGGCAGCGCCTCTGGCTCAAAGGACTAGAGTACCGGCCCCATATACTGGAGGTGGTGGTTCAAACCCAGCCCCAGCCAAAAAAAAAAAAAAATATATATATATACACACACACACACATATATATATATAGAATTTTGGCTCAGCTCCCATAGCACAGCAGTTAGGGTGCTGGCCACGTACAACAGGTTCAAACCCAGCTCTGGCTAGCTAAACAACAATGACAAATGCAACAACAACAAAAAAATACCCGGGTGTTGTGGTGGGTGCCTGTAGTCCCAGCTACTTGGGAGGCTGAGGCAAGAGAATTGCTTAAGCCCAAGAGTTTGAGGTTGCTGTGAGCTGTGATGCCACAGCACTCTATCAAGGGCAACATAGTGAGACTCTGTCTTAGAAAAAAAGTATTGAATCTCAAAAAGTTTGTTTTTATTTTTATTTAGTTATTTATTTATTTTGAGGCAGTCTCGCTCTGGGGTAGGTTGCCGTGGCCTCCGCCTAGCACACAGCAACCTGAGACTCCTGGGCTCAAATGATCCTCCTGCCTCAGCCTCCCAAGTAACTGGGACTGCCAGTACCCACCACAACACCCAGCTAATTTATCTATACTTTTTTTAGTAGAGAGGGGGGTCGCACTCTCACTTTGGCTGATTTTGAACTCCTGAGCTTAAGGTCCTCCTGCCTCAGCTTTTCAGAGTCCTGGGATTATAGACATTACTGTACCTGGCTGATCTCATAAGATTTGTTGTCATTGATTTGCCAATTTGATGTGGTGGTCAGATGTCCTTTGACTTCACAATCCAGGTTTTAAATCTCTCTAACCTGGATTGTCAGTCAGTCTAGAATTATTTGTTCTTTTATGATCACCATCCTTTTTTCTCTTTGTTGTGAATTTAAGAAGGTAACATATGCACTCTGATACGAAATAGTAAATCATTTTTGGAAGAAAAATATTTTATTACAAAATCAATGGAGAAAAAATGTCAACTACAGTTGAACCCACCCATGACCACTGTATACAAAAACATTTATTTTTAAAACAAAAATGAGATTATACCATACATACTATTTTGTGACTTGTTTGTTTAATTTGAACTGAACATCTTAACTTTTACTGACTGAATAAATATTACAAGGCTATCAAATACATATCTTATTTAACTAATCCCCAATTCTTGGATATCTTTTAGTTTATAGTTATTATTCTGTAATGTAGATAGGTTATTGTTACACTCTGGAAACGTTACATGTACACTAGTAGATACTGTTTGTGCTTTTAAAGAGAATAGTAACTTTTCAGAATTTTAACAAATTGGTATCAAAATAGATTCATGTTCTTTAAGTCTTTGCCCCCATCCTTAATTTTTTTTAAACATTTTTGTTTCAAATACAGCACTAAATCTCTAAATGTTTGTTGACAACAGAATGTGTATACCTCTGTTATTCAACAAATAAAAGAGTGGAATCTGAAAATCTCAAGCAGCTTAATACTTGTGATTTTATCCACTGAAAAAACTGATTTTCACATACTATTCCTTGTTTTATATTTAAGGGTCTTTTTCTTGTTGTTACTTAACCAAATTTTGTTTCTCCCATTGCCAATAGATGTTTTTCTGACAGGAGGAAAAAGAACATAATGAAACACAAATTTGAAAGCTCTTAAAATACTTTTTTTAATTTTAGGAGTTAAGAAGTTTCCATTCTTGTGCTCCAAACCAGAAGACCTGTTTTATAGACTAGAAATAATGTTTAAAAGCAACTGGCTGGTGTTTAAAACTGAGGATTATCATGACCTAAGCCCTATGCTGAAGTAAGATTAATTGTCTTGGAAATACAAAGTTGGGTAAGTATTTTTAATAAAGGTTTATGTTGAGTGGTGAAAAAAGACAAATAGAAAAAGATCTGAAATTATGAGAAGTACACTTATATTAGTGGTAGAACTATGTTGCCTTCAGTCTCATGCTACTTTGAGACTAATAGTTCAGAAATTTCAGTAATTTATGTATAATTAAATCTAGGCTAGATGCAGTTTTCAACTAATGAGTTACATTTGTTTTATTTTTTTTGTTTTTTTTTTTTTGAGACAGAGCCTCAAGCTGTCCCCCTGGGTAGAGTGCTGTGGCATCACAGCTCACAGCAACCTCCAACACCTGGGCTCAAGTGA